ACATAGTCTTGAATTTACCACATGTAAACACCTGCTGCGTTGGTGTGGTGCCTTCTTATCATCATTCCATTCTGTGTAAATGCTTGCACCTTGTTCAAGCTTTTCAGGTGGTGTTATCATGGACGTGGAGGGTCTAGCTTATTAATACGTTCCAGAAAACCCTACTTGAAATACATTTTTTTTTTTCAGTTGTAACTTGGAAGTTCTGTATCTTCATTATGATGTTAATTACAGGATCGAAATTTTGATTCGTGATATGTAAATTTATTTTTGAAATTAAATGGATTTAAAGATAATACATGATCTAATCGATCTTATTACATCCTTAGATAAGAATAACATTAAAGCTAATCGATCTTATTACATCCTTAGATAAGAATAACATTAAAGCTAAAGTTGAGATACTAATCAAACCACTAAGAACCTTGAGTTGCATATGGAGGCCAGTAAAGGTGAAATTCAATCTTGTAGACAACAGTTAGCCCCTTGAGATTGACTGGGGATGATGTCACATAGCCTTGCACAAACAGGAAATCACCAGTGCCTCCCACAACAGGATGATCAGAGGGCTTAACGTTATGCGTGCCTCCGACAATGGAAACCGAACCAGAGTGGTGCTTTAAACGCAAAGTGATCTTAGCTACTGAGATGCTCTGAAGCCCATCCAAGCTGGAGGTGACAGAAGTTCCTTGAGCTATTCCAACTAGTTTCGAAGATCGATTGGCTGTGATGGTCATCGGATCCTGGAAAACAAACACGGTGCCAAAAGGTGTAGTGGTTTGACTAATGCCTGCTCCACCTACACCATTCACTACAATATATCCGGTTCTGTTTATGGTTTCGTGTTGAAAGAGCGCGAAGTGGAGGGACTTGAGTTGGTGGTGGTGGTGGTGATGCTCGTGGTGAGAGGTAGAGGAGGCTTTACTTACGAGGAGGGAAACAAGTAGAACAACAAAAACTCCATAGAAACGAAGAGACAGAGCCATGACAAAGTTAAGAATGCAGAGATACAATGCTGCAAAGAACTTGAGAAGACTGAATTTACATGATAGTCTTCCAGCATAAAGCAGTGGTGTGAGTAGTTTTTGTTTTGTCTCAATATAAAAGTCTCACTCCAGTCAACACGGCATTATCTGGCATCCGATGCAGAAAACACAAACTAAGCGGTTTTGATCAAGACCATTGAAAGGGGGGTTAGGTTGCTTTAAGTGGCCTTTACGTCTGCCGTGAATTTTAGGCTGGAAGAATTATCAAAAAGTTGATTTGGTTGCTGCTTCATTTTCAAAAGCTATAGCCGCCTTTAACTGTATATAGTTGCAATTACAATTGTTGATCACAAATTTATAAATCCAAGCAAAGTGATTTGAATAACCAAATTGGTGCCAGATCCAGAGTCCACTAGACATTAAACTTGTAAATCGCAACACGAAATTAGGATGGTTAATAAGAATATAAACATGGATATACTGTTATTATTATTACATTCAATCTAATTAGCAAATAATTAGGGAAATTTTCAGCTTGTATCCCTAAAAATGTTACATTTGCTTCCTTTTCTTCTCCAAATAGTAGTGGTTTCTCTGGAAATTCAGAACTGCCCAAACCAGGTGCCATAAGCCCAACTCTGGCCACAGAGCAGCAGGGGAGTACAATGGGCAGTTAGAAGTTTGCCAGAGTAGGAAATTGCTCAGGCGGGTCTCACCCGAAGTTCGGATCATAATGTCTGGATCAGGTGCCACTGCCATGTACAGGTGCTTCTCAACATCGACCAGCTTTACATTAGGAATTTTGTGTGGCAACTTCTCACTCTCTTGAACATCTTCAATCAGACCATTGCAAATTCTACTTGCAACTTCACCCCCTTTATCTTTTTCAACATGATTAACGGTTGTATTTTCCTTCTCATCCGCCTCATCTCTTTCACTGCAAGGTTTACTGGTATCTAATGCTGCTTTTCCATCCAAACTGCCGTTGCATGATTTATGAACATCACACTCCATCACACCATTAATCTTCTCTCCCTTTTGAACTCCATAAGTCACACCATTGCTAACCTTGGTTCCATTCAATGCCTGAATTTCATTCCTTTTCTCATTGCAGGATTCTTGTACAGCATGAACAATCTCATCACATGAAGTATAGGCCACACAGATCAAAAGCACAGCCTTGGAGTTGTTGGCAGTAGCCTTCATTGCCTTTTCAGCAGCAACCCTGACAGGCTCATTCAGAAGTTTCAAGTTACCAATAAAATATACTCTGATACCATATTGGTTAACAATACTTTCTTTCTCAAGCAGCACCTCAATCTTCTCCTGCAACAGATCCATTAGAGTTTGCACCTCCTCGGGCCGTCGCTTGAAATTATCAATGCTGAAGGCATAAACTGTTACATACTTGACTCCCAATTCATAGCAGTACCTCAGAATGGACATGAGAGCCAAATATCCAGCTTTATGACCTTCCGCTACAGGTAAGTTCCTCCTCTTTGCATACCTTCGGTTCCCATCCATGATGAAGGCAATGTGCTCAGGAATGGGGCCCACAGATACGACGCTAAACATACATTTCCTCAAGAAAGTACCTAAACCCCCCAACCTTTGGCTTGCACCAATAGCGCTTTTCTCCATCGTCTGATCTGGCACAGAAACCGACCCTGCTGATGCTGAAGACTAATAAAACCTCAGTCAACATGAAAACTTAACACCCTCCATAAATAGAAGAAAATTATCAAGACATGTTTGTTTGCTTGAGAGAACAAGGCCAAAACGGAAAAGAAGACTAAGATACATAGAAACAAGAAAACGAAGAATATTTTCGGAGAGTGTTTTCTGAGAGTATTTTTGAAGAATGAAAACAAGAAAAAGAATTTGCATTTTCAGGATTTAAAAATACCTTTGGTAGATTAATTAGAAAATATTCAGAAAATAAAAATGTGTCTCATAGTACAAATTGAAAATTAAGAATAATATTATGTGAGTTATTTTTCAAGAGTATTTTCGCTAATTTCTGTTTTGAAAAAATATTTAAAAATATTTAAAATTTAACAAATAAAAAATTCTATTGTTTTTTAAAAGCTAAAACTATCTTTATCTCCTTTTCTTGTTTATTCCTTTTCTTTCTTTCTTCCTCTCTTCTTCCTCTCTTTGTTTTTTTTTTCTTTTCTTCTTCCTTTGTGTCTTTTTTTCTCAGTTGAAGATTTGTGTGATTATAAGTTTTTTTTTCTTGAAATTTTGGGGCTGATTATGGTTGGAAGGAGGAGATTTGATTGTTTTGGATATAATTTAATTGGATTGTTTGCTCATTTGATGGAAAAGAGTTGGCTTTGATTTGGAGAACTGAAAACAAAAACGACTTTCTGGCATTTTCAACATTTGTTCATACTTTTATTTTCATTCTCAGAAAACAATATCAGCTTGTTTCTCAAAATAACCCACCAAACACGTTTTCACATTAAAATAGAAAATAAAAACAGAAAATGGCCCTTGAAAATGATACCGAACGGGCCCGTCTGAAGCAATTTGTCAAACACTAGGGAGGACACCCAACTACACGGGATTCAAGAACATCAAGTCATATTATATATCAATATTTCTCGGTGATCAATTTCGTGTTCAACAAAATAGCTCAAGCAACAAAGATATACTCCAGAAATTCAGTCATATACGTTAAAAGTACTGTCTTTTGTACGTAAAAACTGAAAACCCACCTCAACCAAGTCCAAAAATAGCATTAAAAGTAATTAACTTTTCAGGAGTCAAAAGCTAATTTTGGGTTCCAACTTCCAAGTAATGAACACATAAAACCCCAAAACAAATTTAAAGTTTCTGAGAGCAACCAAAAGAAGAAAAAGAAAATATTCATGAAGAAACATCCAATCCAATCACACAACACAAGCAACTTAATAAGCGTAAAGGACTTACATGAATATACTGATCAATGAGCCACAGGACGTCGGCCTCTGGCGACCCAATGAAGAACTAAGAGAGTTGAGGCCTATATATAACATACAGAGTGAGCCAATAAGCCACATAAACACCCATTTATTTTAGAAAAGCAGAAGAAAAACTGTGATCGTAGAAAATGGAGGATAATGGTGAAGAACACAGAAAACCACGTAAAATACAAGTGTGAGAAGAAGAGTTTAGAAGAAAGTGACGTTTGGTTTTCCGTAGAAAATTGAGAAACCAAAAGCATCCACCCATACACATACACACAGAAACACAACACTACAAAGTTACAAAAGCACTCAAAAGAAGCCAAAAGGAAAGGTACTTCCGTCACCTCCTTTTTTAACATTTTCTTCTGCGCTTTGTCATTTGTGGGGGATTTTTTTTAATTAAAAAAGAAAATTAATTATTCTAGTGCCACCACAATTTTAAGACATGGCCGTGAATGTTTTGATATTAAAAAATTGTCACATCATATGATCAACTGATGTGTAAAATGAGATCTCAAGACTTGTGGCACACTGAATGCGTTGTTGATTAGATAATTGTGGTCCGTAAATACGATACAAATAGTGTATTATTGTAGAAAACGATGATATATTTTGTGAAATGTTTTTGTAATGTTTTTAGTTAAGAATGTTTAACTTAGAACAAAATTAAGGTGATCCATAAAATTAAAGGACATGATTCATCAATTGCGTTTTAACATTCTCTTTGCAGTTATGAAAGTCATATTACCAGTTTAAACAAAACTTAATATATTAATCTTCGAGAACAGCATGCGATTAACATGAACTGTCCTCTCCCCCCGTTTTTTAGGATTATCTGGTGCCGTGGTTGCATAGGTTGGGCGACAAACCAATCCTGCATGTTCCAAATGCTCGCCAGCTGCTTAATATTTCCATGTAATTGCATTATTGTTGTTAACAATGATTATAATGTGTGAAACCAATAGTTGAGTGACAGGTGGAGCTTGATAGATTTGTGCTCTGCTGAAGACTAAAGAATATTGTGAATTTGTGATTGCTTGGCAAAAAAGAAAAAAACTGTATGTTTTAACAAACAATCCTCCAATTCATCAAAACTGGTGGTGACTACAGGTACAAAATTGGTTATGAATTTCAACAATTGCTACACAAAAAATTAAAAAATCACCATGGAAATTGACAAGAGAAAGAAAAAGATGAATGTTCAAGCATTTTAAATTTTGATGCCTGAACATACCAACTTGCTGTATCCTTAGCGCTTGGTCTTGATGACAGGTTCCTATGCAATTGACATTTTACCTCATTTACTCAGTGCCATGATACCTAAAGTGAAGCGGAGACCGATGAACAGACTGTTTATTGCTTCCAAAACTAAAAGTAGGTTGCGCAGATGCAAGTCTGGATTGCTTTGGCTTCTCCTTGATTGCTTGAATCTTTTCCAATTCCTCCACAACTTCTTTCATGGAGGGCCGGCTTTTAGGATCCGGTGCTAGGCACTTTTGAGTAATCTGTGCTGCTTGTAATGCTGCCTTGAAGGCATATTGACCTTCCATCCGCACATCCAGAATGTTTTTCAGCTTTCTTTTATGAAGGAGAAGTGGTTTAGCCCACTCTACCAGTTGTTGTTGCTCCTTAGGGCGCTTCGTATCGAGTGCTCGTAACCCTGTCAGAATTTCAAGCAACACAACTCCAAAGCCATACACATCGCTCTTCACATACAAATGACCTGTTGATTTGAGGCGTGGATGTTAGGCAGCGGATTTACTATACTAAAGGAAGATAAAGCTGGACTTCTTTTACTATTTTTATCTTAAACGCATGTTCATAACAGAATGCATTTTAAAGCTGTCTCATTTGTCAATCCCCCTAGCAGAAACATAAAATATTCTGGTTTCTTTGTGTTTGGTTTCCAAAATCAGACCCCTTTTTACCCTGGTAGTTGCACCGAAACTCTCAAAGTCAAAGGCCCAAGGGCTAGTAAGTATCGGTAGTGAGAAAGAGGGTTTATCAAGAATCTTATTATTAGTGGATTTTTCTAAACCATGCATCATATATGAAGTTTCCAAAAACCTTTCATTTTTGTTAGAAATTCATTACCTGTTGCAATGTACTCTGGAGCAGCATAGCCATAGGTGCCCATAATCCTAGTCGAAACATGTGACTCTCCACCAGCCGGCCCCAATTTCGCTAATCCAAAATCTGAAATTTTTGCATTGAAATTCTGCAGAAAAGAAAAGAGTGTTTGATCAATGTTATGTGCATGTACAGAAGATTTTTTTTTAAAAAAAAGCGGCAGCTATGTTCTTATATGTTACGATTGTTCCTATCTTCTCAGGAAGATAAATAATAGAGCAGAATATATAATACTAATGAGGGGTAGAAAGGCCAAGATATAATAAGAGTACAAACCCCATCAAGCAGTATATTTGAGGCCTTGAAATCTCTGTATATGATTTGTTTTTCTGAACCGTGCAAGAAGGCTAGGCCCCGAGCTGCTCCGATAGCTATTTTTAGCCTTCTGTCCCAAGATAGTGGTTCAATGCCGGCGCTCCCTACTCGAAATGGAAATTCAAGAGTCAACAAAATGTTGAACAAGCAAATAACTTCAATTTTTAAGTTCTCTGTTTTCACATTGATTTCATACTTCTGAAAAGATGATTCTCCAAACTTCCTTTCTGCATGAACTCATAGACAAGGAGAAGCTCCTTCTCGTCCCAACAGTATCCTAATAGCTTGACAAGGTTTGGATGAGAAAGCCTTCCTAGAAAGTTCACCTCTGACTGCATTATCAAACATGGCAACAACAAAAAAACATAATTAGTTTCAACAGAAAATGTAATTCTGAAAATATGCAGGAAGAAGAAAATGGGTTATGCAGCATGTGCCAAATTTTATAACTAGGATGGCAGTCACAAATATGGAATTCAAATCACACCACAAACTAGGATTGGGATTTTAAAGGATATATGAGTTAAAATGAACTAGATTTTTAAGCTGAATGATCTCAAGACAAAAAGTGTTTACCAGATGAAAATGAGTTGAAGTCCCAGCATGCCGTCATACTAATGTGGTCAGCAATAGCAGAAAATTTAAATACATTATCAAAGCAAAGGACAGGGATTATTAAGAAAACAAGTTTCCAGTTAAATGCTATTACAAGAGTAACACGACTAATTCAATGCATGACTTGATCTTTCATGATTGTAGAATTCTTTGCCCTCATGACTTGCTCACTATCTCTTTCTCAACAGCTAACTTTTTAATCAATTGGAAAAGGACATATAATTAATTTTTTTGAAGTGGGACCCACATCTTTATCTGCTGAATTCCAATGAAATTGAAAAAAACAGTAATAATACTAACTAAAGGCAAAGGCTTTGCCAAATCATGAGAGTTCATTTAAAAAGTTGCCGTCTTGATAAAGAAAAAGGATTAAAAATACAAATGGTCCAAATTAAAAATACTCAATAATGCAATTAGAGTTGAAAACGGAACCTGCCATTCTTGAAAACCTTGCACACTTTCTGGGTTCAATTTCTTGATAGCAACCATCATTCCAATGCCAACCTTAGAAGGTGCAAGTGTTTTCTCATCCACCCAACCTTTGAAAACTCTCCCAAACCCTCCCTCACCCAGCACTGAATCTGACTTGAAATTCCTAGTGGCAGCCCTCATCTCTGCAAAAGTGAAAACTCTCAAGTTGGGTGAGTCCAAAATCTGCCCATTGGTTTGCTGTGGCTCTTCCATTCTTGGGCTTGATGCCTCTGAAAATTGACTTCTTCCTGCACTGCTGCTTGTGTTTGAAAATATGTTCCTGCTGCTGCTGTGATTTCCAGATGTCCCTGAAAAACAATTGGCACAGAGTTAAAAAGCATCAATCATGTATGGATTTTGATGATTAAGGAAACAACCCATGTAAAAGCATGTTAAAATATTAGGATCCAAGTATGTTGCTTGAAGAAATGAGAGAAATTTGTGAAATTTTCCATGACCCTTTTGAATTTCTTTGTTCAAATGTTGAAGCAAACTGTACCTGTAGTTGATGATATGTTGGTGTTAGGATGAGGATCAGGAGGAGAAGCAGGAGATGTCCAGCAAATACCCATAACTCAATCTTTGTTAACTAATTTTCTTTGGAGTAAATTGCGAACAAGATGAGTATATAAATTGCAAATGGTAGTTGTGGGCAAGGGGAAAAAGGAGAAGAAGAGTGCATAAAGAGAATGAAGTGGAATCATCTGGTTGGCTGGCTTTGGCCTTTTATACATAGTTGGGGGTGTTGGACTTTCTGCTCCTAGGAGTTGCCATGAAGCCACTTGGTTGTTTCGTTATTAATTTCTAAACAGGCTGATTTTGGATAATTCTTCTGGCCATTAAAAGACCAAAACTTTCAATTCAGTTTGTAAGTGTTCATACTTGTTTTATTTGTAAATTGTATCCTTTGTTTCCTTCCTTGGTCAACTATTTTTTATATATTTATTTATTTATCCAGGCCTTTTTTCTTTTTACTTGGTTGGCAATGGCAGGCACTAACTGTAGCCTGTAGCAACAGATATTTAACCGGTTTTTGAGAGTCAACGCCCTGTTATCATCGACGTTCTGTGCGTGACAGCAGCGTTTTCTGCCAAGGCTTGCAGCAGCAGCAACATTTTTATCATCGGCCTTTAATATATTTACAATGTTACATTGCATAGAGGCACTCACAAAAAAAAAAAAAAAAAACCCACAAAACATAATTTGAATTCATAATTTGAAAAAAAAAAACACATGCATTATTGAAGAATGTAAAAATACCACGTCGGAAACTTACAAAATAAGATACAATATATAAGTTAGTGGTTTCACTACTTAAAATCAATGCTTTTAACAATAAAATCTTATCTGAGAGTCTACCCATGACTATCTTTATCCGTCTCTTTTAAATTTAGCATTGACTTAAATGCTCTAAACTTTTGAATATTGATGTTATGACTTAGGAGAAGAAACAAAAACAGAACACCTATTCAATATTGTATCATGTTTTATTAGATATATTATATAAGAGTACCTAAACGTGGACTGCTACAAACCCACAATACATCACGACAAGTTGATATTTCTATTGTTATCTGCTTGATTGTAGGAGCAATGTCGGTCCCGCATTTGAAAATTCTGCATCTATTTTTTCTTTGGGTTCAAAATTAAAATTAAAACATACAATAAGTCAATAAGGTCGAATCAAGCGTTACTAGTCTTCATTCACTAAACCAAGAAGTAAAAATTTGCTTGGTCTCCGTACATACGTGGAAGGGGCAATGTGATGTATGTATGTAGTTGACAAAATAGATGACCACTCAACTTACAAAAGTGGCTTTAATAAATAATTTTTATAAAAAAAATGGAAAAGAAAAAAGAACTTATAAAAAGTGGCTTACAACAGAGCAATCCTCACTCGGAGGACATCATTGATCTTGCTCTAAGCAGGGGATGACCCTACCAACGGTCCAATCATATATTTCTCATTATTTATTAATTTAATTCATATTTACGTTATCTAATACGTCATAAACAAAGTTTAAGTGTGTTAAATGAACGAGAAAAACTTAGCTCTTACGGGTTCATATAAGTTCATACATTTATTCTCCTCATCAAGTGACATGTAGTCTTTCTACGTAAGTCTTCCACCGAATAAATTAGGATGAACTAGTGCGACATACCTAACATGCAACATATCTAGAAGGAAAAAAAATATTGTAACTTGAAACATGCTTAACTTTTTTTATTAAATGAAATTAAACGCAAATGAAAGGGAGTTGACGATTGATTGCTTTCTCTTCCACTAGCGTATTGTTAGCAAGCACGCAAATCATGGTTAATTATGACGTAGTCTTATGGTCTATTGGTCACATTTAGTAGAAATTGTATCCCTTTGATTCAATGAGGGATCCAATTATTCTAGCACAGGACCAAAGAAAACAAAATAATAATAAAATAATGATTCAAGGTTTTGGTTGACGAGGATCTATTTTTGGATTTGAACATGGATTCTCCTTAATATATATTACAAAGGATGTCTTTTTGAATTTCCTAAAACGTATATATATGTTTTGAGAGACTGTTTTTGAATATGAAAGAAGAAAAGCGAAAGAAACATCCTCAGACCTCGGTTAGCAATCTTGAACCTCAACCGAGTGAGTCAAACCCAGCCTCAATTATGGCCAAGCAGCAGCCGAAAAAACATAGACAGCCGCAACTGCCACGTTTTACACATGTTAAGGTAACTAAGGCCCGAGACGTGGCAACCACACACTTGCACACACAGCCCCTAGGGGAGAAGTTCAAGTATGAAAGAGCCATGTTCTTCAAGTATGAATGTCATGTAAGCTGTACTTTCTTTTTTAACTTTCAAGGAATGAGGGAAAAGGAAAAAAAGCAGAGTTTTAAGATAATCGTCAAGGGGGGATGAATGCATGTTTTGGGCTTGTCAAACAAGAAACTGAGATTTACAGTGTTTTTACATGGAATGGAAGCATACATGAAGCTACGACATGTCAAACAAGACATGTCGAACAAGAAATTCGTTGACTCGAAAATACAATGAGCTAAAAAGAACTGAAATGTAAATGCCATGAAACTGTGATGGAAACACAATACTAATAAATATAAGAAACTGCAAAAAAAATCCATTGGTTTACCAAAAGTAAATATCAGAAACTAAAGAAGAGAGGTTCAAGGCCTTGATCACCAATGCAAGAATTTCAAAAGTGATGTTTTTACCATTTAGAAATGAGTTCAAAACCTCTCCTAATATTTATACAGATGTTCTAATTGTCAGAGTTTGGTAGGCCCTGGCTTCTGAGAAGTCTAGCTCTATGCCTTCTCTTGAAAACATCTTGCCTGAACTTCTTGGTCTCGGTCTTCATCTCCAAGAAGGGTTTCCTCTCTATACTTTCTTTTTCATTCTCCAACATCCTTTGCCTCTTTGCAACAGCCAAGGCTGCAGCCTGGTTTTCCTGCTGTTGAATCTCTGTCTCTTCCTGTACATTCATATCTATAAACAACTGAGCAAGGATAATAGGCGTCCATATATGCACATCTGTGCGCTTGTATTTGCTAATATGTCAAATGTGCATATTAAGGACTTCATTCATTACACACATAATCTTTCATCTTTTTAATGTTTGGTGAATTTGTTGGCACTCATTTTTTCTTTGGATTTGGGAGATTGATTGTGCCACTTAGTAAAAGCATGTCAAGAATCACTCAAAATAAAAGTGAGTAAAACATATCAGGAAGGGTAAATGAGGACTGACCTGAAGATCACGAATGAGACCGTCAAGCGATTTAATTTTCCTATGTGGCCACCGAGGAATACCAAACTCTCTACATTTCTTTTTAAGTACTGTAAGTCCAACATTCAGATTCCTTGAAGCTTCCACAATTGGGAGATCAAAATACTTGGCCAGATCTGATAAAGCGATATTTGCTACATGTTCACTTGGTGCCCTTTTCTTCTTCTTCTCCATAATACCTGCAACCTTGCACCTAACCTATGAGACATCAAATTTAAAAAACGAGCAGAACATATTTTTAAGACAAAATATTATTGAATATCAATTTCTACGAAAGATCCAGTCTTTTACTACCTCATATATTAGCAAATGTTAGTCAGATTTAAAATAAACATATCACTTGTTAGTTGCTTTAGTTTATGGAAATGAATGAAACTTTTAGGTTCTAGCATTCTAAAGTAAGCTTCTGCTGAGACAAACTCTAGATTCAGCTCCATATTACTGCAATGCCATAGAAGAAAATACCGAAGAATGCATAGAAATTTGTTTGGTGTCTTCTCACACATTTTTTTAAGTTCAACTCATGTGGCAATAGAGATAGAAAACAATGGCAACTAACCTGGTAAACTTCTTCCAATTTCTTGATCCTCCGATGATTCAGACATTGGGACTGGACATGGAAGACTGTTAAGATCCAGATCAAGTACGGGCGAACTTCTTATTAGTTGATGGTTATTGTCATTACTCCCTTGGCATGTTTCCTCCCCTGACCTTTGCAATGGTTTTTTGTTGCTCAACTCGAAAATCATCTGAAGATCATTAGCCAAAGCTGGAATCGACTTCAACTTCCGATTTCTGATCAATTGGGAGGAAAGATTGTTAGAATTATGAACAAAACTAGAGAGAAAACAAAGAAATTTGAAATTATCAAAATTTTCGATAGAGGTGGGGGGGTAGCTGGAGCTGGGGTTGAGATTTGGTCTAGAGCAAATAAGGGTAATATCTTCAGCAACCAATTAAATGTGATGAATTGTTTTGCAGAGAAACGTTAGAAATGGAAAATACCTTCCATAAAAGTGTTTTTATGTCCTATGCCAATTGAGCAAGTTATTCTGTTAAAATCCAGGAATTTTCTCCTTTTAGGTGAATTTTAAATATATACTATCTATGTTAAACTGCTATGAAAACCTCAGGGGATCCACATCAAACTCTACAATACTACTCATTTAAGTTTGAAAGAGCATAAATCATTATGAGCAAGTTGCAACACTAATAAAGTGGCCCACTTGGCCATGCTCCAATCTTTGCAAGCCAATCCTGAAAATTCTTACATACAATGACCTAGTGTGAAGAGAACTTGACCCCTCCTCATAATAACCGGTCACGTAACCAACATATGTGAATGTCCCCGGTATACAGCATGTAAGGGGTGAGGGGTGAAGGCGTGAAAGGGCGTTTTATACACCCATTCCATGTAAGAATTTCTCGTACACTAAAACCTTATATAAAGGGTATCTTTACTCTTTTGTCTGTACCTACTTAACTAGGATTGGTAATGCCTGGAAAGGAAGATAAAGCTGCACATAGCAAAGATATTCGAAGAAACTGCCTATTGTCACCATGGAGAAATGAGGAGAGTATCACCATAAATTTCTTATCCAACCATCTCTCTACTTTGCAGGCCCAAAAATGAAGTTAGTCATTCAAAAATATACGCACAGAAAGAAAATCATTAACCACTTTATTACAAAGTTTAACAATGCTAAGCATGGACAATGACACACCCCAAACCAAAATAAAAGCAAACAAATTTAAGAAAGCAAAAACAGAGAAACAACATCAGATTTTATTTGTTAAGACTGAATTGGGTACCTGGAGACTGAAAGTATAGAAGGAATGCATGTAAAATTAGGAGGACAATTGCCCTGAAATGCAAATATGCAAACCCAACAACCATTGACATGTCCTTCGTGCACTTGGGAAACTGGAAATTTCATCAATCTAAGAAGCGGGTCAGCTGATAACTCCACATATGGCTCACTGGCGGACAACACAAACTCCCTCTCAACCTCATTTTCCTTCCCCTCATCTAATCGGTACACATGCAAGCTCCTGATCAACTCTATCAAAAACCCAACAACAACAAAAAAAAGCTTTTTAAAAGACAAAAGAAAAAACCAACAAGAAGAAGAACAATAAAGGACTAATCTTTGGAGAGCAACAACTGAAATTGATTGCTGAGAATGCTGGGTTTTGATAAGCTTACCCTGGTTGATGGTGTTCTTGAAGACTAAGAGAGATCTCAGCAAATGGGGTTCACAGTCACTGGAATCCATGTAAAGGAAGGAAGAAATATCATGGTTATGGGGTGGGGTAAGCAACACTACATTACCAGTTAAGTAGTGACAAGAAAACCGTGGGCAGAAAGAGGGAATGGGATGAAATGAAAACCCAGGCTTTGAACTTTTTGGAACAAGGTTTTTGTTGTTGTTGTTGTTGTTGTTGTTGTTGTTCTCAGGTTGCAGACCTTTGATTAGTTTCACAGTTACTTTCACTTGCCCATTTCTCTAGAGTCCTGCCAAGCCAAGCTTTTTCCTTTTTCTCTACTTTCTTTTGTGTTGGCTTTTTCTATATTTTGTTACTAGATGACCAAAAACGTTTTTTTTTTTCCTTTTTAGATAGAGATTACCAAAATCTTTATTGCATTATTCCAAGTGTTTTTTTCTTTCTAAAATTTTTAAAATGCTTAATGGCATATAAATGTCACATTGGAATTAAAATTTCCTTGGTCAAAATTTGTAAAACTGAATGCCTCAGCTAAATCCAAAGTGGACTACCACATGAATGAATAATTAGTTTTAGCAACTTATTAAATATATAACGAACTCCTACAATGTCGTAACAAGAAACGAACTTTTACTTTATTATTTTTGTAACCGATTATAATTGTAAATTTTTTATATAATAGAACGGTAATTGTGACTTATGTGCATATGCAAACACATACTTACACGTGTACAAAACACAAAGTCAATCATCATAGTTAAGTTAGTTGTTTATGATTCCTACAACAATTTCATGACAATGATTGTTTGTATCTTGAAAATAATATTGTTCATCCAACAAAATATTGGTGCTTAACTTGAAAGAGCTTCCTTAAATAAAAACCTTTTGGCTAACATTATAAATATATTTTCTAAATGGTAATTTGACTAAAAAAATATTCTTTTTTCTTTTTTCTTTTTGTTGTTAGTAATTGCTCCTAGCCATTAAGAGAGAGGACACAAAATTGGCTTCGAAAACTTTGTAAAATGGACTTCCGAGGTTTTGAATTTTGTCACGTAGCTACTAATACACGCAGACTGCCACTCCAATCTCTGTACTGTTCTGACCCACACAATTGACATTACAGTGCATCGTTCATCTCTTAAATTACCTGTTATGCCATGGAAAAACTTGCACTTACTAAATTAACCTTGGAATGACCCAAGAATATTCCGCTTCAGAATGTTGGATTATCAAATTATGGCGCGACGGTAGGGGCACATGTGTCAAAGAAAAAGAAAACTGGGTCCCGATTCACGAAAGCCAGAGCAACTACCTTTGGCTTTGGGCATGTTTGAGAAGTGGCACAAAGGGCGTTACAAATGAATTATAAAAATAATTAAATTCAGCTCCTTTAGTAGTATGCAATTTCCAGCAAACCAGAAACTGCCATTGAAGCTCACCTTTTCATGAGATTGGACGGTTGGGACGGTTGGGCTCACCGGAACTTCAGTGTTTCTTTGTTGTGATTTGCTAATAAGGCCTTTCTTATTCTCTAAATTGCTGGTTCCAAATTTTCTTATGCTATCATCTAGAACGATGTTCTCGTTCATTCAATGGCGATGAAAAATAAACACGCAGTCAGAAATGAATTGTCAATTGTAACTGGAGGCAAGATAGCTAACTAAATATATTTTGAACTTCGACACAAAATGTTGGCCCTTTTGGATATCACAATAAAGTCAAAGTAGGGCTCCGGGCAATAGCAGTACAATTGATAATGGGTAATGCTTGCCAAATTATAGGAAGCAAGAAGTACCCTGCTTCTTGTTCTAGTATACAAGATGCTAGCAGTCATGTTTCCACGTCTGCAAATTCCTGCGGCAATGCATTCGAGGGGATGACTTAATGCCCTAGTACAGCAGACACTGACTTGAGTCCAACAAACCACCATTAGTTCTCTAGACTAAGCTCGGTATCATCCTCTGAATTCTCAGGCACCTCAGGGGAGGAGGGTGTCTCCGGAAAGAATACCTCATCTGGATACATCTTCTGGAAAAGCTGTCAAGTACCAGCACCAACACCAAATTTTATAAGGGCTTAACATTAGGTGATATGTAACAAGTAATTAGGCATAGTGAAAGTTATCAAACTTAAGCCAGTTAAAAGAGGACATACCACCATAGTTGATTCTATCAGATCACTGAAGTTAATATTTCCATCTAGCATCGGAGTGGAGATGATATTTTCATATTGACCCTGAAATCAATGCAAATCAGAAAAGGCATCAAAGGTCATACCTATATCAAGATTTATGTCGCATTCACAAAAACCAGTACAACATGGTTCTAATGTCTTTCCAAAAAGGTAAACATTATATCCACATCACATGTGCCCTTTTTCAGTTTGATCCTCAAATCATCCACAGATGAGAACAAGTCATTACATTGCCATCCTCAAATTTAATACATCTATGAGAACACATCATCCTCGTCATCATTGCTAAACATCAACGGAGGCAAAGAACAAAAAAGCATCAAACAAGCGAACAATCACAATGCAAGACATAGAATTACTGAGAAACAAACTTTTGTGTAGACATACAGTGGGCACCGTTGTGAGCTCCTGAATGTATAACATGCTCCAAAGCAGGGTGGGTTTTACTTCTGCGTCTTCACTACCAGCTGCGGAACCACTTTCAGAAACAGGAAGGGTGAGAAGAGCATTCATGGCCGCATGTAGCAACCTTTTCCCCTGTCCTGCATCATCACATAAACCAGAAAAGTACAACACAAACCTGAAGAAGAGATGGTAAACAAAGTCAAATTTAACAGATTCCTGGAAAGCCTGAGGGTGGGTATCTAATATCTAATCCATATGTACAATGGTAAATAATCGGTATGGAAACTCTTTTTTTAAAGACAATCCCAAAAGAAGAAAGAATAGCAACCATGACTAGATAAGAGTCAATAACTATTAACAAGTTGATATACTTCGCGACCTAACATTAGTCATTTCTAGGCAATAGGACCAAGTATTTAGGCAGTTCCATATCATAACTACAGGAAACCAAAGGCTTGACCATTTTTATTTTTAGAGCTTAATAAGTCAACCAATTTGGGTTCCTTAAATATACAGTTACAAATCCACATATGTAGGTGGCAAGTGGTGCTTCTTTGTCATTGCTTCAGGGTAGTTGGTCTATTTGATCTCATTGCTATAGCATGGAGGACAGATATGATGTGCCTAACATATACTTGAAGTTGTACATGTAATGCATAATTACCAAATATTTAGCCATCAAGATATTAAAAAAGGTTAAAAAGAATGTCAAGATAAAAGATAAAAGAAAATGTGTATATATCTCTGTGTCAACGCAGAGAGAGGGAGAGAATTATTATTTTCAAAGATTTAGCATAAACATACATGCCTGATGGACAAACAGCCATTTGGTCCAAGTCGCCTCCTATCTGGAGAGCCCGAATTGAAGTATCCTGCTCAGGAAACAAAGCTGGGGGGGAGAGGGGAGGAAGGGAGACAAACAATTTTAGTTCTATTATTCAGTTTCAACAAAGCACACTAACATAACCAGAGTTAATTCTTACATCTAGGAGGATATATGAGCAAAAATTGTGATATATCTGGCTTCAAGGAACTGTTAATTATACATATTCCCCTAGCCACCTTTCTTTTATCATCTTTCAGACTTAAAACTTGAAAACTTTCTCTCAGGTCTGGGGGAGATGAAGCTGGTGGCAAAGGGACTATGAAGGTTGGATCCAAAACCAGCTGATGACTAAAAAAATCCTCGCCTGAAGCTAATCTAACACCTTTGTACTGTCCACTATTCTGCAAAAGTCCACGATAAACATTAACTAATTTGCAACTTTCAGGTAAAAATTTATTTCAATAAATATGTTACATCAGAAACAACAATAAGTACACTCATGCCCATACCTGGTCCATAAGCAGAGCAGTCACTGGCATTCGCAGAACCTGCATTAAAATAGTTTTCAGACAAGGATAACCATTCCAACTGTATGTATGTATGTTTATCTACACTTCCAGTGAATGTAGGAACTAATGCACATGAACATAACTCCAACTCCTATAAAAGTAAATAAGTAGAGCTAAAACATTAAGCTAACCCACCGTTCTTTTTACAAATAACATGATTCACAATTTGTGAAATGCACAGAGTTGGAGACGAACCAAAAATTTCAACAAAGAAAAGAGTAAAAGTTAAATAAGACCACACATATAGGCTAATAATAAATAAATAAACATGGGTGGACATATATGAAGAAGTATGTACAGGCCAATAACTTCAGGATACTTTTTTCCTTGAAATTAAGTAACAGACACTTCCGCTTAAACTTACATAAATGCAACCTTTAACAGCAGCGCGACGGCAAAAGGCTTGTGATAACTCCCCAATACCATAAGTAGGATAAAGCAAAGCCCCAGACGCACCATACCTAAGAAGAACAAGAATGATAAAGAACCTATTTGTGGCATACTGAGTAGCATCTTTTATATAACTTTGAGTCCCATAAGTATTGATTCAAGGGACACATCAAAATCAGTTGGCTCACTTAAGAAATACAACACATCTAAGAAGAAAATCTCTCTTTTCTGAAATTTTAATTTCAATGAAATTGACAGGATTACGCCCCATTCATACTTCCTTATTGCTTCCCATTCTAGACAGATGTACATATTCTCCACAATCATAAACCATTGCCATCAAACATTGTGGAGTTTCGTCATTTTTTTTGTTACTCAAAGACTTATTCATTCAAACTGAGCCTAGATCATGGATGAATAAATAAACTCATTGATAGTATAAATACTACTGAGGTACTGGGTCGAGCATCACTACAATAGTACTACACAGTACCTAAAATGGCATATAATAAACGTTAAGTACAAAACATAATAACAAAACTAACCTGCCAATTGAATTTTGGTAGAGGGCTAACCGCTCCATCCCATCTCTGGTCTTAAGCACAGATTTACAAACTTCCAAGTTATCTTGATCATAATCTACCATGCAAATGGCATACAGAATAATCCTATATGGAAGAAACAAAAACAATCTCAGAATACGGAAATAAAAACTCTTCGAGGTGACGAAACCAAACAGAATAACTCATTTGAGAAACAGTTTTCAGGATAAAAACGACCCCTTTCTTGGTGTAGACTATTACAAGGGCAACCAATGCTTGCTTTGTTTGAAGGAAAAACAACAGAATTATAAATAATAATAAAAACTACATTCCCTTTTTCCTTTTTACGATAAATAATGTAACAAGCAGCAAAGAGTACTAATGGGTATCTATAAACGTTTCAATCGCCAACTGCTCACTGAATCAATGGGGAAAACTCAAAACCCCAGTAAAGCAAAGCAATCTTATCAAGACAAATGAGACATGGGGAAAAAAAAAAGTGCTGTAACTAACAGATAGAGAAAGGCAATGCGATCTGTACGATTTTATCTTGGGCGGCAACCGCATCTTCTTCAAGAACTCAACAAAGGGGCTCTCCAAATCCTCCTCTGAAATCTTCGAACTTTCCCTCCCTTCATCATCGCCGTTAGAGGCTCCCAAATGCCGCTTGACAAGCTTGAAGAACCTCATGAGTTGGTTCTTCTCTAGAAGACTCAAGCTCTTGTCTTTGAATATTGCTGATCGAGAGTCCGGCACATCACAAAGCCTCCCACTTCCATCCCAAATGAAGCTCGCTTCGATGCCCTTGAAATCCAAATACGCGTTTATGCCCGATTTGATCAGAAGGTCGGTAGCTTTGTCGGCGCAAAGAAAAACCCTTGGCCCGCCAAGGTCGACGCTGAATTTTGTGGAATGTTGTGCTAGTGTTTCGGGGGCATAGTTGGCAGTCTCAACGTTGGAATATAGGGATCGGAGGCTGAGATTTAGGGCGGTGAAATCATGGTTGCTACTTGCAGAGGTGGTATTGGCGGCGGTGGTGGAGGGTAGGTTAGCATGGTAATTTAGGAAGGAAGTGAGGTCATTAAGGTGAATAGAGGCGGAGTGGCTGCCGTAAAACTGGTTTGGGTCAAGGTGGAGGACGGTTTTTCCAGTGGCAGAGGCTGCGGCGGCGATTACTGATTCGGGGATGCCTGTCCCAACAACGATAAGGTCAAAGGTTGTGGTTTCAAGTTCGATTGGAAGGTACGAAGGTAATTCAGTCATGGCACTGGATGGGGATGGAGAGAAATTTCAGAGGGTAAAGGAAGAGCTCTCAGCAAATAGAATTTCTGTACTCGGCAGAAGAAGCTACGGCGACCAGCAGTGAAAGATGAAGAAGAAGCAAGGCGTGCTCGGAGAGTTTAATGAATAATTTCAATATACCAAAAATGACCTTGAAATGATACTCTCATTTCTTTCTTTGGTTTTTGAAGTACAGAACAGAGCCCAACTAGTATAAATTATAATGTCTATCATAAGTCCAACTCAGGTCAGGTGAGCTCTACTGCTCAGAAACAGGAAATGCTCCATAAATTCTATGAGGATCTTCCCCATTGGAAGGAAGTAGTGCATTCCTCTTCTTTGCCTTTCATGGAGTTGGGGATCAAATATAATCTTCAAATTTGATTTTTGCTTATGATCAGCTCAGCACAGCACTTGACTTGAAATTTGATTTTTGCTTGCTAGTGCTTTAATTTTACACACAGGAAAATAAGGAACTGTGACAGCACCCGCCACTTAGAAATCATATCCATCCAATTTCTTTCATTGACCAAATTTGATTGCTTATATGGCTAAGCGGGCGGTTCAATAACCAAGCAGAAAAAGAAGCAATTACAAAACAGAAAGTAGAACCACAACAACCGTGGTAGCAGATGATAGTAAAGATAACCTACATGTTCCTTTAGTCCACATATGGACTTCAATTTAACCATTTAAAAAGATAACAAATAATGTTTGTATATAACCTAATGAGAAAAATGTCTTAGCCCCACAATGGAAATTTCACATAAAAAAAAGTTTACACAGTCTCTGATCATCACTGCCTTGATCTGGATTCAGCCCGTCTAGCTTCATCTGGTGTCGATGGAAACAGCTCCACATACCTCGACCCAATTGTCATCTTGTCCTTGCACATTGCCTTTTTGGCCTCTTCCGCAGAAACAAACTCAACATATGCCTCTCCAGTAGATTTTCCATCCGGGCGGCAAGCAATATGCACCCTATCTTCTACAACCTTGAATTCTCCAAAAAAATCAAGAATTTCAGATTTTTTAACAGAGAAGGGGAGACCGCGCATCTTCAATATCTCAGTGTACTCCATTTGGTCCTTGTCGCTGAACCTCTTTGATTTAGATGGAGGAGGACTTCCTTGATAGTCATTATCATAAATACCTTCATAGTTTACCTCCGCTGCAACAGCATTGTAGTAGTCCTGCCTCTTGCACCGGAAAACTTCGACATACCTCCGCCCCATGTTCTGACGATCTCTATGAAGAGCAAACTCAACCTGCATGGGTCCCGCAAAGACTACAAAGGCCTCTCCTGAGAAGCGTCCATTCTTGTTGACCAGCAACACATCAACAATATCCAGTCCCGCAAAGAACTTGAAGATGTCAATATCAGTGCAGTTGAAAGGAAGCCCCCTGAGACGGGCCACAGGAAAGGCAGGGGGCTGATAACCCCCACCATAGTTGTAAGGTTGAAAGCCACTTGTGCCGCTGCTCACTGCGAAGTAGGGATTCGAGTCCATCATTCTTGGTCTCTTTGAGCCGACCTCGTACCCGTCCGAAACCCCCCCGCTTCCCAACATTGCCCTTAATACCCAAAAAAGAGAAAATCCCCCACTCAACCTGTTAATAAAACCAAACCCAACCCACACTTCCCTGACACCTAATGTCTAAAACCCTACATTTGTTATTCTCAAAAAATATAATTATATCTACCAGCCCCATATCAAACAGACAAAAACAGAAATAACCACAGATGCATAACAAAGCATAGAAAAGAAAACAGCTTTTCCTAGATATAAGATATCAACCAACTGATGCTACCAAACGCAAGAAACCATATGAGATGTCACACGCAGAAGCATTAGGTTCGCATTCACACAATTGAACATAGTTTATATATACTCTCAGGTTTTAATAATATAGAATCAATTTCTCTATCCATTCCACCATGTCACAGACTGCTCATGAAAATCATAAATTCAGTAAATTTTAGGCTAAAAAACTACACTTTTAGTCCTTGAAAGATGGATTAAGTTTCTATTTGCCCTTACTTCCGAACAGGTAAAATGGGCCCTTTACTTATTTATTTAAATTGAGTTCCCATTGCATAGTCAATGAGCTTTGCAACGGTTCACCTGTCTTTCTCATATGAGAGTTGCAGGGATTTTGTTTGATGAATTACATAAATGGTCAATACCAAGCCAATCTCTATGTATTTTACTAACTTGATGAATGAGAAAAAGACCCAAATATGTTTAGGTTAGATTTAAAGCAAACACGTATCAAAAACTAAAATTCCCAAAACTCAATTCCACGTGAAAATACAAGAGCCACGAAATCAAATTATCAAATAAACCAATTCCTCTTCCTCGTTAATTTTCTTAATCCAAGACGCATCAGAATCAGATTAAACCATCAATCAGGTTCCAAGATAATCAATCACAAATTTAGCAACATATCGAAGCAAAATAGCAACAAGAAGATCACAAGAAACACACAGATATTTGAAAGATGCAGACAAAATCGAACTAGGCTTACCCTCTCGATCCGTACATGGCTGCGACGATTTGAGTCTTCGAAGGCAGCTGCGACTCTCTAAAGGAGAAGGAACGACTGAAAAATCGAATTATTAAACTGTTATCTACCAAACCCTAACCAAGCTTGTTTGAAAGAGAAACCAAAATTATCGAGAGGCTCCTTAAATATTTGCCTTTTTGTTTTTGTTTTGTTGTTGGACTGTTTGATTGGGTTGATGGCCCAAAGGTTTCTTGGGCTTTAACCCGACCCTCTACACTATGATCTGGGTCCAACCCAAAATAACATGTGATGCAATCCAAAGTCATTTTGATGTATGTGTATTTTCTGTTTTTGGATTTAAATTTCCAAATTTGTGAGAATTTTTTTTGGAGTTCTCTACTATTTGAACGCCATAATTGAGAGATTTTAAACTCCAAAATTTGTGGGAATTAAATGACCAGATTGATTATAGGGCCAGTTTTGGAATATATAAAAATTAACGCGGCATGACGTTTTAATATTTAGGCTTGAATCAAAAAAATGACACACAATAGTATACATGAGTTTAGTCAGGTGGCTAGAGTAACGAGTCCACCTTCTTATATCAAAGTTTGAATCCCCATCCTCATTGATATTTATAATTTTTTTTTTAAAAATTCCCGACCTTTATTGGGGTAAAAGAGTGACTTCATGAAGCCACAAAACGGGCAGAAGAAAACAAATGGAGGGAGAAGCCCACAAAGCATGAGAAGTCCAGAAACCAAACCGACACCAAGGAATCTCGAGTTTGGGGTTCGCCAAATTTTTAACGTTTTCGGGTTTGGTCTCCTGCAGCAGTTAAATGAACGTGCCAACTATCTATATTTAGGTACTTTAATCTTTTGACCAAAAAAAGGTGCTTTTATCTTTATAATATTTTAATTAAAAATTAAAAAAGAAAGACCTTTATGTTTCAAAATAGCATTTTTACTGCATCTTTGGACGAACCCCAATGCCAAAAACATTTGAACAAAAGTCTTGGAATCTGCTCTGCGAAAAGGGGCCAGTTTACAAACCAATTAAAAATTTAGGATTTGGCAAATGGGACATAGATTAAGAAAATGCCAGCTCGCTTAGGATTTGGTAATCCATTTTAAGCAATAAATTATGCTTGTTAAACGACCCTTATAGCAAGTCTGCTGGTGACCCGAGAATTATAAATATCCATACCCAAAATATAAAAGTAGAAATCTCATCACGTGCCAAAAAAAAAAGAAGAAGCAAAAGCTGCATTTGAATAAAATATAAGACCCACTTGATTAAATAAGGACCTACACCTACCCAATAATTCAGTCCACAAAACATGGACTTGGAAGAAGGCCTCTCGTCTGGTGGGTTCAGATAGATCATGCTTCCAAGAGAAACAAGGAACCAGAAAAATGAAAATGGAGGCTTGGAATTTGGCCGAGGCCAAGCTACCAGCAGATCGGAGAAACCGGGAAGCTGGCATGGATCTTGATGTACACAATGCTGCAGAAGAGGGCAATGTTGATGCCCTTTGGCAGCACAGAGAGCACGTTGACCAAGTGTTAACCCCAACCAAGAACACAGTTCTTTCTCGCTGTCCTGGTTGCTGCTGTGAGCAGCTACTGGTTTATAACAAGGAAAACTTGAACGCTTTACACATTGTTATAGCTGATGATGATTCTCTGCTGCCGACACTGAAGGTATGTAAAGTACGCATTTTTTGTTTACTTTAGAAAGGTTAGCTGGCTGCACTTTTCTAATTAGACAACTCCGTATGTACACCTAACATTTATATACGTACATTTATACAGGAGCGCTCAAGCGCAAAAGCCGAAATGGAGGAGGTGGAGGAGAAGAAAGGTGGTAGTAGCTGCAGGGGATTCAGTGTGTTCAAATGTGGCAAAGACGCTGATGTAATATTGAAGGAAGTGAAAGAAGCTCATCTGGTAATGGCTACATTGATAGCAACTGTGACTTTCGTAGCGGGTTTCGCCATGGCTGATTACGAAAGCGAAAAAGGAGGAGGCCAAGCAAGTCCAGCAAGAAATGCAGCTTTGATAGTTTTTGTTGTAACAGATGCACTGGCCCTGTGTATGTCGGCTTGTTCTGTCTTGATGCACTTTTATTTGCCAGGGCCGGATGCCATTGTTTTGTCCTTATCTTCGACCATGTCCGCCTTGATTTTCATGGCGATTGCATTCATTTCTGGGGCATATGCAGCATCAGGTCATTCTCCGCGGCTTGCCGTGGCGGCTAGTGTGCTTGGCTGCTGGTACTTTTGGGCAGCTTTCTTCATGCTTGGCCGTCCATCTACCAGAGCTTTTCGGAGGCATTTTAATCATGCTGCCACTGCAGCTTAGTTGAACCAAAGATTCTCTTCTTGTCTTGTTTTTTACTTTGATTTCTAATCTAATCTAAGCCTTTTGTCACATGTCCAAAGTTATCTGATCTCTTTCTAACTTGAGGTATCAAATAAATACTGAAGCAGGCCAATGCATGCCACAGAAGACAACGCGATATTTTACTGGATTGTCCTCATGCCAATTAAATTCAAAGAAAGGGTTTTGAATATAGTTGAATTTTCTACATATTCTACGAACAATGAACTCCATGAACATGGATCTAAAAAGCTATGCAGACCAATAACACAAACGAAATGTTCAATTGCTCTGTGATTCTCTGTTTAAGGTTTTTATCTACCTGTTTCCATGTTATGAGGCTTGAAATCGTTAAAGTAAAATCAACAGAACTGACTTTATATAAGCAAAGCAACCACGGCTAGATCGGTTAAAAGAATTAACTATATAAATAACCAAGTTTCTTCAACACAAACGATGACGGGAACACACCCATCCCTCAAAGAAAGCTGAGTACTGAGTGGCAAACACAAAATACATCACAGCATCTGACTAGATCTTTCTTTCAGTAAATAAAATTAAAGAATAAGTTTTACAAGAGTTCCGTTTTCTACATATTATAGAGTTCACAAACACTAAACTAAATTTACATAGACCAAAAAAGTACAGCAAATCAATACAAATTCCTTGACCAAGGAAAATTCCAAATTCCTAAGCTCTTGTTTAGATATTGTTACGAAGTAAAGCAAACCAGACCTAATTACTTTTCTCCTCGTAACCACTTCACAGGACGATCACTTCAATTCTTTGAACTTGAACAGTCGACAAACAAATTTGCTAACCCTAGTAGATAATATCAACCACGGTATAATTCCTACCTGCAAACACATAACGAAAAGACCAGAAGCACTATGAGAAAACTGTAGACCCTTATTACATAGTAATTAAAAGAGCACCTGACAGTAGTTAGATCATTTAGTTGCTATGAGCCAAAGAGACATATTTCAGCATCTCTGCTTAAGGGATCACTTAAAACCCCTTTTCCAACATAAGGTTTCACCCAGGAAAACTATAAGATAATAACAGTGTAAACATACGATCGAACTTTATTTACCATAACATTTTCATTTAAAATTCCTCCAGCCCTCCATGATAGCACTTTCCCTGCAAAGCAACAAGAAGAATCAATCAGAATTGCAATCAGTTTTGTTATACTTCCTGCTACTTACTCTGATTTATGTATATAGTTGCTCCATTCTTTCTTCTTTTTCTTTTCAAAATTTAGTAATTATCCTAACTGACATAGCCTTATAGGTCAATATAACAAGTAAAAACACACATTATAGTAAAACTCAAATCATCAAGTGACAAAGATAAAGAGGAAAACAGAAGATTCTTGCAAATAGCCATACTGGAAGAAAGAATGGGACTCAATAAGTAAATATGCAACAAAAATGCATTACCAAAGGGTTGCACAAGTTGTTGTGATATGGAGGCAACAGGAACCCTCCAAAACCACCAAATCAGCACAAGATATGTTAAGACCTAAGAGGACAACCAAGTGTGTCAATAAAAAAACCTTGATTAAGGAAGAAAGAAAACTTCTGAAAAATCTAGTATACCCAGAATTACCTTCGAGATGAACAAAACTTTCAGATACAACTCATATGAAAGTTTTCTCTCCTTGCCATGCAATTCTTGATCTGGAAGTCAGGTAATAGTGTTAGAATCTCCCATCCATAGAAGGGCACCATATCTCCACTAAGAAAATAAAACCGTGCCACAACAGAGTACTGAAGCTATGAAAGACAGGAAAATATAACCGGGCATGGGGCTGAAGGAGGGGGGGATAGATACAAGAAGTAAAAAATTAAACTAAGTAAATGTAGCAATAACTTATATCAAGTGATCTTTTTTGTACTCACTTCATGTTTTCTAAATCATACATCCACCTGATGGGCAGTGCAACAAGACAAAATTTGTACTGAGAACATAGGAATTAAGAGTATATGCTATCAAAATAAAAGAAAAGCAAGTTGGCTAATCTAAATAATCAACCACTCATATCTCTGAATGAGATTGATATTTGAGTCAATAAAATGAATGTACAGGGACACCTAGTAATTAAAGACATTGAACAACTACCTAAACTGTATTAAACATTCAACCCTTTCGCTTAAGAACTTCATCTTCTTAAAGTGTATGTGGCTGCTACTATACAAACACAATTTTGAACCCAAGCATGTTGCAAATAATTATTTATTAACATATATAAACATAATTGAATGGGTGGAGTTGCAGCAACTAGTACAATTTGCAAGTTCTTTCTCTTTAGCAGCTGCCATCCTCCTTAGCTTTGCAGCTTGTGCAAATGTTGAAGGCCTGGATTCAACAAAAATAAGATCACAATCCTGCTAGTGTAAATGTAAAAACTTCGAAGATGCAATTATCAAAAGAATGCTAAGAACCCAAAAACCAAAATTAATATAGCATGTATTTAAATTGATGGAATATAAGACTTAATTAGTAAGAATCACTCACTGTGACAATGAGCTTGCCTCCTTCAAAAGGTCCTTAATTTCTCCACGCAACCGGTTTGCCGTAGCAGTCTTCACTCCCCTCTGCGAAAAAATCCAATTAAGGAATCAAAAACATGATTGAGAGAATGATTTCACACCAAATTACCATTAATTGCTTAAATGCGTATCGATAATCGTTGAAGCAAGTACCTTCTTCAACTGTTGTAGCCACCTGGAGACAAATTGGAAAACGACGACGAGTATGAAGACGAGAGGAGCTGCCACCGACCTTCTATGGCCCTCTAGGGTTTCAACCACCTCTCCCATCTCTGATGGTCTCCTTGCTCGATCCTTACCAACAACACCTTCTTCGTCCTCTCAGAATCTCAATACCACTGCCACCTCTGCATCTGGCTCGTCGTCGTTTTCTCTGTTTTTTTTCTTTTTTCTGTTCAATATCGTCGTTCTCTAATTGTTTTCTTTGGTCAATGTCGTCGTTTTCTCGGTTACTTCGTTGTTCTGACCCAAGTCCAAATGGACAATTTAGCGGCCGATATTTGCTTGGGCATGGTCCAATTCAACTTTGGCCCAAATCTAAGGTTAGAACCAAGTATCGACGTTTCACATTTACTAATTTACCCCTAAAACAATAATATCAGTAACCACTACTATTCCAGAAATGCGATAAAATCAAAGCCTAAATTTGTCATTCCAGTTTCCATGATTATTTATTGATTAATTGTTTGTTTCCTAGCTAAACCCTACTTCCATTCCAACTATCTTTACTTTCCGCCCAAGAAAAAGAGAAAAACTCTATTTCTTTCCTATTTTTTCTATTCCAGTTAGCAAAAGGAACACAGTATATAAAGACACCAAATCATCAACAAACTCTATTCTTATTTCTTGACTAAAAGTCGCTGGGACTAAGATGAAGGGAATCCTTGGTAGTTGCTGGTTTGGAAGAAACTTTGTAACCGGATGCATCGATCTTCTATTAGTTTTGATGCCGCATCTTTTAATATTTTCGATCAAAGGTAAGTATTGTTGATTTGTTGTTACAATTTAATTTACTTGAATATGTAATTGTACGAAGTCAACTGTGATACTTGTTTGTGTTTTTGTTTATGGTAAATAATACAATTTTGTGTTAATAATATCTTGAGTCCTACCTACATGATGAGTTCAATACTTATATTCAAATTTATTACTAGGGTTGGGGAAGTCGAGGGCTAAGGGAAATGAGAAGCCAACCTTGATGGACCTACCCAACGATATCCTCCTTGACGTCCTTACAAGGCTGCCGACAAAATCACTTTGTCACATCCGTAGCGTATCTAAGACCTCTTTAAGCATAGTTGATAACCCATTTTTTGCTACGCTTCGTTTACTGAATCCTGCTACCAACACTGCTGTTGTTGAACTACCTCAACTTATGCTTCTTACTCATTCCTGGTCCCTTGGGCATTGGGATCGTCGTACCCGCTTTGCCTTGCAATCATTGAAATATAGAGGCGAGCAGAACTTTACAAAAAGCAAACATCGTTATTCACAGATTTTGTCCCAGATTTACAAATTTGATTTTGTTTTTTGCAACTTGTTTTGCTTTAAAGCAAGCTATGGATGCTTATTGGTCAATCCTCTCAGAGAAGAAGTTCTAGATATAGAACTCCCAATTAATGACCTTGTTTCATTTCATTCTAACAAGTGGTACGGCATGGGATTTGACAGTGTAACTAGGACTCACAAGATTGTTTGTGTTTTTAAAAGGGCATCGTATCCTATATTTGTGGCTTATGTTTATACATTGGGCACAGGATCATTATCGCGACAAAAAATACATTCAGTTCCTCAATGTGAGTTTAGTAGCGAGAATGTATCTGCATACGGAGACATGCATTGGTTGATTCATCATGATGTAGGTGGAGGAAATCCTAATCGTATTATTTCTTTCCATTTCGAGAAAGATGAATTTGTTTGGACCCCTTATCCCGATTCATCACATAGTTTTTTTTATGGTTTCCATGCCATGCATTTGCTTACCGTGCGAGGGTGTTTGGCTATAATGTCATATAATCAGCATTCTTCTATCAAGATATGGGTGATGAAAAATTATGAGAAGAAAGTTTGGGAGTTAGATTACAAAATTGACAACAAAATATTTCCTCATCATCCTAGATCAATTAAGACTTGTGGTGAATGGGAACATGGCATATTTTTCACTCAAGAATATCCTGATATGTTTTACTTTTGGGACGTCAGAGATAAATCCATAAAACACATCAAAGCTGAAACATTACTCCCAGGCATATTCAGTTATGATACTCTTCATGATCTTCTTTGGGATGATAAGTGGAGGCAAACGAGGCTGAGTATCTTCAGGTATACTGACAGCCTGATTTCCTTGAAGACTTTCGGCAATTTAGTTGAAGACTTTCGGCAATTTAGTTGAAAGACAAGTGTGCAGGAGGCAAAATCGAGTACCCATATTTTGATTTATTGAAAAAGAAGTCTGCGTAACTTGGAGTTGCAATTTTTTATTTTATTTTATTTACTGTAAACTTTCATGGATGGAGAGACTACCGTAACTTTGTTCGAGTATCATTTACGGTTATGCAATGCATTATATATAGCATGGTAAATTATTCATGAGAATTGTTTCAACTTTCAGTTTTTCCAGAATTCACTCATCTTTTCTGTTTATAAATATGAACAAAGGGGTTGATATTTTTCTTTATTTGTGCATGAACATGAAAAACACAGTTTTTATTTTTTATTTTTTATGTTTTTTGTTTTTTTAATCAAACCTATTTACAACATATTTGATCGACCAATAAGAATATCACACGTGGAAAATAGGGGCCCACGGAGATGATCGACTAGAGGGTCCAATTGACCACACCTTATAGACACCATCGGTAGG